CAGTACTTCTACTTCATCCACCGGTCTTCCCAAGTTCCAAGTGAAGCTCTGAAAAATGTTAAATCACGCTGAGCTTTTCGTTAACCATGCTTTGTAAATCATGCTTTGGTTTAGCGATTTTTTCATTTCTTTTACGCTCGAAGGAAACAAATAAAACAAAGACAAAAAGAGTAGTCTACCAGCCTTGATTAACCTTGATTATGATATGTTCTTTTGATATTTAAATGTCAACATTATTTATATTTTTCATGCAAGCAATTGCATTTTTTGTATAGAAATAAAAATAATTAAAACAAAGATGCAAGCAACAGCACAGCGTTGACTAATCGATACACGAACTGTGTAACGTATGAACTAACGCGAATGAAATATTTTTTTCCTTTCCTGCTTGTGTACCTCGCATCGCTTAAATAAAAACGACAAAATATATCTTTAGTCGAAAAAACAAAAATCCACTCGTCGATATAACAAAATATCGAGCTACGGTAGTACTTCTAGTACGAATTGAAAGTCTTAAATTGCAAAAGCGTTTTGGTAAACTTTGTTTTAATGGAGTAAAAAAGTGGGTCGCGATGAGTACTTGATATACAAAATACGTATACCGGCTGCACGCTCGTTTACTGCGCGTCAAGCAAGTTAGTCAAGTGCGCACAATCGTAAACTACGTACGAAAATTCGATAGCTGCGTGATTCGTATTCCTTCGAAATTTCTTGAAATTATGTAAAACTGTTCCTAACGAGAATCGATGTGTACACTGAAACAACGCTTTGAACAAGTTCGAGAAAAATAAAACGTTTTAACTAAGCTACACTCGTTCAAACTTCAAATGTGACGTTCTCCGTGTATTAAACCAAAAATTTACCAAAATAGTGTTATATATCTGATTAATAGTAATTAACAATAGATTAATAGAATAGCCACAAATTAAACATTTGTCATCTACGTTACCTCATCTACCGTAATATGGTCTCCGCTTTCTTCGAGGCATTTTGAGTAATGAGGGACACCTGTAAAAGATTTTTCTGAAGAATCTCGATATCATAGCATTAAACGTAATTTCGATATCCACGACAAGTTTCATAAATAAATAGACGAATTACGTGATCGTATTTAACGATGGTTCCTTTTTAAGTGCAATAGCAGGTTAGCGTAGTTTTACGGGAAAGCTTTCATCCGTTATCAAAATTTTTCCAACTCTTATAGCATCGCATTGTCGATTGAAGAACAAAACGACGATAATTCGATGCTCATTTATCGTTAGTTATATTTACGAGTGCGACGAATTGCACACTTTTTCCAAGTTCCTAGATATCAAAATGTAAGATGTTACAACAAAAATACCGTTAAGTTATTCCGTGTCCTATCGTGTACCGATTGAATATTTCCAACATTTTGTTTCTCGTTATTCGATTTGCTTGCCTTTTACCGAGTTTAAATCGTAGTTTCATTCTAAACGAGATGCAACAGCTTACGCGTAGTTTCTCTCGCGATTAACAACGGTATTTAAGATGTGCAGGCAATTATTTCTACTATGTACGTTAAAGTAGAGAATCGTGCTAAGTCTCGAAAATTTATACTTCGCCCCTCTCTCCTATAGAACACGTTACAAGGAAGAAAAATATAAGCCAACTATGTACATACTTTCCTGAACGCAAAAGAAGGCATAACTACTCATCTAGAATCGTATTTAACAATAAGTAACATTGTTGTAGCGTTGTTCCGAAGATGAGAAAAGAATATGATAAAATTGGAATAACGAATAGAATTTATACGATAATTGCGAATGATAAACACGCATATCTATATCGCTGCCTTATAAAACAGTCCGATTATACGATTTTAAAACTGCGTATAAATTTCGAGTTATATTATGTCTGACATCTCACAGTCTTCTAGCAAACAAACTATTTCGTTCGAAGCGTACTGGAAAGCAAAAAGTTCTCCGCCGTAACTGTATTTTTATAATGGTTACTCTTCCGCGTAAACGTTAAATATCTAATCTAGATGGCTCCTTTGAAAAATATAACGCGGTAAATAAGTGGGTTAAGAGGTAACCGCGCGAGAAATTAAGACGTCGACAGCGGATTACGGGAGAAAGGAAAAGGAAGCAAAATTGTTCCTGCGATACGTATCAAAATCGTATCACGATCGTACGTGTATACACTTACGTATATTAATTAAGTAACTCTGAATAACATTGGAACGTTTAAAGAGGTCGAGGATAAAATCTTGACGTTCAACTTTGTATCACGCGAACTGTAGATCGTCGGTGAACTGGGGCAAACGTGATTAAATAAAAGTTTAATATCCAGAAGCCAGGTTAACCTCCGGTTAATAATTCGTCGTTGTCCTGTCTTGCCTTCGAATTTTCCTTTCCTTTCGTACACGACCCTGCAAGATGACCGACTAAACCTACGACTGATTGGTTTAACGTTTAACCTAACGCTAACCTTTGCATTTGATCCCCTAAGTCCTCACGCTTCGATAAATATTGCAAATCGCGCGTCCACACTCGGCTGAACTGGCCTTCGCTCGACAGTTTATTAACATTTAGCTACATATCCAGCGTTAAACAAACGAGTGACGTGTATTTTTAAACATTGACATTTTCCAAACATTAATTTCGATATTTACGACTTGAGCGATACGTCGAGATTTCAAAGATTTCAAAGATCTGGCTACTCTAAAGAAATACCGAATTTTGTATAAATTTAAAAAGATTCCACTTTTAACGATATTCCTAATCTTGGATATCCTCTTCGTAATTAGAGCGACGCTCGAAGAAGCAAAAAGAAGAATAGTTAACATCCTAGCGTTATTATTTAATCCTGATATTTTTTTAATAGAAGTGGATATATCCACGCGCTACGCGATCCCAAGTATAATCAAATTTGCCAACGTAGAAAGGTTGCGTCAATTTTCTATCACCGTTGAAACTAACTTTATACGATAAGTATACAGAGAAACGAGAGTAGATACGTGTAATTCGTTTTTTCAAAGTTGCTTTTGTCGTTTTATCCTAAGAGCTTTTTTTCGTCGTTCCACGAACATAATTGTTTGAATTGGAAACACAAATAGTATCTGCTTCTGATTAATCCAGCCAATATCTGTCACCACTTTAACGGTACTGTTCAACGGTTTGCGGTTTGTTACACAGTTGTATATATTAAGATACATACATACGTATTTGTTCAGAGTTAGTTACACGAAGAGAACGAATCAATCGATGGACACGAGACAGTAAGATAATGCGTTTCTTCTAAATATTTCTATAAGAAGAATTACATGTAAGGAGCACGAAGCATCGTGTTTTACGTAACAATTTTTGTATTTTATGCGAGAATTGTATTTGTATTTTATGCTTGTTTCTTGAAACAAATTGAAATTTTGTAAAAGATTCCTTTTACACACAATATAGATATCGTAAAAATCACGTGTCGATTAAACGCGATAAATCTGCGTGCGGTAGCTGCTCTAGATAGAAATATTTATTTATAGATGAACTAATTTTAATCAATATCACCGATTAACCTTATGAAAACGGTGACCGTATGAAAACAGCGGGGTTAGTTACATTGCACAATCGAAAAACGAGAAGCGCTACTTTCTAATCGACGAAAACCTTTGCCAAGCGAATAACAGGTTCGAATAGCGTAGTATCCAAAGAAACTCGTGAAAGAGATTGCAAAGAAAGTCATTATCCTACGCGCAGTCATAGAACTCTGCGTTAATCAGTCGATCTTGCAATTGATTCGAACTTGCAACGTCTCGCAACACGATATTATTATCTCGACAAATATCTATTACGTTTCCCGTTCGCTTTAATTAACTCTGAATTATTTACTTTCCTATTTATCCTTAAATAGCAAACAGTAAATTTTGTCAAAAATCACGTGGCATAAATTTGATAATTCTTTCGAGTCATTCATCGATTAACGTTCGTAAAGAAGATGTATTCGTTCGATTTGCGTGTAACGGAGAAGGAGAATCTAAAAGCGACTATATTTGTAATAGCAGCGTAAATATTTGTACGCGAAAATTACATTATTCAGATTTCGCAGAATCGCAAATTAAATGGAACGCGAGCCACCCACCGCGTGTTACGAGAAAACGAAGGGAAAAGATGACTAAAACGACGTAACGAAATTCTGATCGATTGTCAATTATATTTACTCGGCGTCGATCGCCGTTCTCGTTCATCGCGCAAGTTCACGCCTTCAAAGTTCAATTGCCTTCGTAAATGTTGAGAAAAGCTTAACGACGCTTTTCTATGGGAAACCGAATGGATAAGTGGTCGTTACGGTTGACGCAAGCTGTGGATTTTATCGGTATTTTTATCGTCGATCGTCCAGCAATATCGCTCGAAACTTACCCCGGAAGTCGACCTTGACAACCTTGTCTCCTTTGAATTTCAGTCCTTGAAAATTCTTGACGATAACGACGAGCGCCATTCTATGTCGAACGTTCCGCAAATTTCACTCGCGACGTAAATTTAGCGTTTGTTAAAGGCCGTAGGTATCAGGAGAGCCGAGCAAACGGATTACACCGCATGTTCCGTTCCTGCGTTCGTACGTTCTTCGATCATCCCCAGTTAGACGAAAGCAAAGGGAAGGGCCACGACCAACTGTACGAATCGAATGTCCGACTTCCGCGCTAATTCGACGATGAAAACGACAAAGACCTCGTGTTTAAGCGAATGGCGATAACATCGTAAGATGTTTCCGGTAAACGGATATTTTCAAACCGGTGCGGTGTCGCGATTAAGGAACCGAGTGCGAGCGAGCGAGCGAGCGAGCACGTACCCGAATCGAACGACAGACAAATTCGGACTAGCTGATGTTCGCGCCTCGTACAACCCCCGAGTCCTGTCCGTCCTACCGGACCTACCCGTTCTGCTATCCTGGAGAACCAGCGCACGCGCCACTTGCTACTACTCTGCCTACTACAAACACGCAAACACACACACACACACACACACACAGATTGACTGTGTTACGCGTCATCGACGCAGCTATTCATCGCGGCGTGGGCGACGCGCCGCTTCGCTCACCCTGCACCCTTCCATTCCCGTTACTCGCTATTCGCTTGCCGCGTTCTTTCCCCTAGTTTCGCCAGCATATCCTCGTGAACATAGCAAATTGCCGAAATACCTGACATACGTATCAACCGGAGCATCGACTCTTCATCGATCCAATCTCTCTTTCTCTACGCGTTTATCGACATCTCGTGTCTCTGTCTTTCGTCCTTACTTGATACAGATGTCTATACATATCATCAAAGATCATACATACATTTTATTTTCGTACGTACTCGACTAATATCGTATATTATGTTTTATCACGTACGTACCAGACGCTGTGAAACCGTATGAAACGATGCGATTGTGGCAGACGCAGAATTATGTTACTTCTGAAAGCGTTGCATATCGACAGGCGTATGAAATGGCCGTTATTCGTGCATATGAAAACGATATATAATATAGGATAGGATATAGCATATAATATAAACATTTTCTCTTTAAATAGATGTCGCCCAAAAGTATATGGAACGCGATGCTTACCCACGGTAGTTAACGCATGTTTACGGAATATCTGTTGCTAAATCAATTAACACGTTGGCTTTCCTTAGATGTGAAATGTTAAAAGTCATTTAGCGAAAGAATAACGTTGCGTTTTCGTCGAAAGATACTTACTATTTGCATAAAACGACGACGACGACGAGGAAACGGCATGCGAAGAAAGTTATATTATTTTTAATGAGAAAGAAATAGAACGAAGGAATCTTGTTCTAGAAATGCCCGAAACTAAAGAACCTAGATTTCTGGGTAGTTCAATAATAGAATTTCAAATCGGATTTGAAATTACTCGGTGCCAATCTATTATGAGATTTGGTACTAGTAAATGGCAAATTTCGTTTATTAACTTACTACTATTTATCTCGGACGTAAAAGAAGAACAAGCATACACATATGTAGCTTCGTATAGTCTGATTCGATGAAAAGTCGTGTGTGGTTCGTTATGACATAGTAAAGTAGCTTAAGAAAAAGTTCTCGACGGAGCTTGTTGCGTTTTGTTATAGAATACAAGCTGGTTTCAAGCAAAAATATAGAACAAAGCTCTTTTAAAACAAAAGAATACGCTAAATCGTTTGTATACAAATACATAATATACGTTATGCCATTACTGGTGGACCTTTCGCACAACTCCGCCCAAAATTGACAAAGATTTCACGTGCTCCGTGACAGAATCCAAACCAGATCTTGCTATTTCGAAGTTCTTGTAAATAAGATATAACATTCCGAAGTAAAATAGATAGACAGCAATTATGTGAATGACGTATAATCTGAAAATACAATACGCGAATTATATCGCGATAATAAGAATCGGAATCGTTTAAAAAACATTTTCGTGTGCTTATGTTACGATATTCTCCAAAAAGATGGAACGTAATAGCATTTTAAAAGTGACAACGTGAATACATACATCGCTTGGTGTCTTCTAGCGCTCGGCAATGTGGACAAATTCTCTTTCATGCAATATTGTCGTGCACCTAGAACGCAAGTTTTTATGTACTCGGCATGATCGATAGACGAGAAATCTATTGGGAAAATCTCCTTGTCTTTCGCACTCATTTCTTGCCGCATTATTAGCAAGTTTGAGTTATGGAAGGTCCATTCCCTCATAGTGAAGTATTGTAAAACTTCGAGTCCGACGGAAATACGTCTTTGGATACGAACCATACTAAAAAGGAACATCCTATATACAATCCGAAAGTGGCAAGATAGGAAAGAAGTAATTAATTCGAAAAACTTGGCTTACAATCTCTTTTGCCGAAATATCAACATAAGAAAATCGATGAAATAAGCCGGTATAATGTGAAACAAGAAGACGATCAGATTATGTACGAATTTGCTGCTATGTATGTCACCGGTTGGATACCAAATTTGTCCTTCGAAGGGATATTCATACGCGATCTTTTTGCCTTTACCCAATACTTCTCCCCACGTAATGGGTAATATGCCACTTTGCGTCATATTGTATACCGGTATACTTGTATCTCTAACAAAGAAAAAGTGAGAAATATGTAAACCAAAGGGCAGAGACTGAATGGTTCTAATTACTATTTCACCTACAAACAGATAAGGGAAAGGCTGATGGAATAGCTTACTTGGTCGTCGTAGCCGTTCTATGTGCGGTTGCGATTAACGCATTGATAGCAAGGTCGACGGGTATTACTTCGGCGTGATAGCTTCCATTACAGAGCATCGACCTTATCACACCTTTGCCTGCACCCACCATAAGGCCCACAGGTCCGTTTAGGTTATCCACCCAACCTGGTAACGGTTCTGCCAAAGCTGGAGTTACTGTACATACGACAATGTAATATTTGCTTTCACACGAAATCCGTATTCTATCAATTCGTTTAACGATAGTCTATATAAATACGTATATCGCGAATTAAAACACTATCGGCTGAAAATAAAAATATATATTATAATCGTATCGAACATTTCCCTTCCTTTCGACCTTTTACAAAAACGATGAGAAGAAGAGCGTCCTTTGCCGTAGTACATGTATATCTCTATAGCTTTTTATTTTTTCTGCAAGTTGTTTTTGAAAAAGTATTATCTGTCGGCAAAATTATTTTTACCTATCGATGGTCTGGCAATGCAACAAGGTAAATCCGGGTATTCGTCTGCTACCAGTTTTTCGGCCAATCTCTTTGAATATGTATAAGTATTCGGATGAAGACCCAACACCCTGTATTCGACGAAATCGATACGAATTATTAGTATTTAAATAGTCAAATAAATTAACTTGATACGCTAATTTGTCATTCTTCCCATAATGTATAATATAATATTTTAGAAAAATTATCGAGATCGTAATTTTATAAGCTATTAAGAGATACGAATGTAATATCATTTCTCTACGATAAAATCCCATAAAGACGTTAATTACTTGGGTGTAATAAGATCGATGGCACTTTCATCTAGCCATTGAACCAGCCTCATAACGTCGTGAGGATCAGCGGATGATTCGTACACTTTTTCGTCGAGTTCCTCTTTGTCGGCGTAACAGAAGGCTGTGCTCAGATGCACAAATGCCTTCAGCTTTTTCATTTTTCTACCTAATTCTATAACCCTTTTCGTTCCGACCTTAAACGATAGTATTAACAAGATGAAAGAAAGAAAATTTAAAAAGAATAACGCAAATATCACAATGGAAACGTATAATTGAATGTATACGTTTGAAACTACAAAATGTTTGTTACGTGATTTAATTAATAAATTTACCGTATTCATGTCAATAGCGTCCTTCAACTTAGATTCTAATTTAAGAGTTGCGGCAAAATGGAATACTACGTCAGTTTCGTTTATCAATATTTCGAGTTGCTCGTTAGTTAATCCTAAATTCTTCATACCCACATCCCCGCTTAAAGGTATAACTTTCTTCATCGCTTCAGGCTTTTGCTTTTGTATTCTTTGAAACATCTGTTCAAAATTATTTCAAATTTCATTAAATCGCGCATAGTAATCGCTTGTCGGTTCGATATTTTTACTCGAAAGTTAGTTGCTCTTCGTTCAGTTTCAATATGTTGCTTCGTAATTGGTATACATACAATCGATAAATAAGAAATTGGGCACATACGATACACTGTAGACGATACTCATGATTCGTAATCACCTTCTATATGATAACACAAGTACACTATACTAGATACAGCTCCGATTAATCCAAAATAATTAGCAAGAGTTTAAAAAAAAGAAAAAGAATTTTAAAGTATAAAGTACAAAGGAGGGTTCATACTTACGAGTAATTTAAACATTTCGTCGACACGCATATCGGGAGTACGACCTCTTTTTGGTCGTATCAAAATATAAATCTTATTTAAATCGCTACAACTATAAAGTAGCTTTTCAATTAGGACTTTTCCCATCAAACCGGTCCCTCCGGTTACAAAAATGACTTTTCCTTTGTAAAAGGATTGTATCTCGCTTAATTCGCTCATTTTTTTTCTTTTAAATCTGAAACAAACTGTCGTGAAAGTTCAGTACGTCCAGTACATAGCGTCTCCGAAAAAGATTAGTTTCTTTATTACTCATTCGCTCATTCTACTTGGTTTAACAGTAAAAAAAAAAAAAAAAGAAGGAAAAATATGGAAGATCCACTGAAAGTAACGATTCTACGAATAATATTTAAATTTATATTTTATATCAAACTCGAAACAGCTGAAACACACAGGTACGTAGACATATGCGCACATACATCGATCGTGTACGTAGGGAATTAAATTTATAAATGTAATATTTTTCTAAATTAACGGTACATTTGTAAAAAAAGCTTAACAATACATTTTGCTGGAATCTGTCCATTATATGAATTAAGCACATATTGTTATAATAAAATACCAGCACATATACCTACATATTCATATATTCTACGATAGATGGAATATTTTTAACGAGTTTTACGACTGTTATTCTTTTTTATCGTCATCTCCACTTTTCCATTTTTCATTCGGTCGGTTTCTTTCCCGAACTTCCTCGATTCTCCTTTTCCGCGAACATTTCATAATCGCGTGTTCGCTTGTGCCTGAATCTTGGCAAAAGTCAGTCACTATCTGTCATTTGAACAAAGTCCAAGGAGAAAACAAAGTTAAACCAGTCCTTTTCGTGAGTAGGTATTGGCGTAATCCAATACATTCCACGTATCGTTACCACTATACAGTTAATTTCTATCAGGTCGCGCCTCGATAGACAGACATTAGTGCATCCATGTACCGGAAGTACAGTTCATAATTTTTAAGCAAACACTTTAACCCACTATATAGTTAACTAGCATTAATTGCAAAAGTCGTCGTTTCATCTCGCAATTACGTTAATACCAGAATGTGTCGTGTACTTGACAGTGAAAGTATTCTTGAGATACAGCCACCGCAACTTACCGTATTTGTACATTTAACTGTTTCTATAAACATATAATTTCTCGCATTATGGTAATATTTTGCCATGACGTAATAAAACGATCGCACGTATTATACGAGAATTTTAAAGTAACGACAAGGATCAAATCATAAATCGCTATATGTTTTATACATTATTTCTTGCATTCGAAGTAGCATGTATTTTCGTTATACGACTAAAACATTAACATATTCAATTGTGATATTTTAATCAATTTTTGTCGAAAATGTTACGACGTATTCTATAACATTACGATATTTAATAAAGTGTGAAAAAATGCAAGCAATGAAAAAATCTACGAAAACTGAAAAAGTTGTGTTATTTTTATGATACACGCGTATAAGTAGATAGAAGATCATAGAAATTGAAGTAAAATTATGTAGTTTCATTAGAAAGTGAATGGTCCGGTCATTCGATAGTATTAAATGTGGCAACAGTGAATGAGTTTCACTTTTCCAGAACCTTTCGACAGCAATAATATAAAATTTCGATTACAAAACTAGAACAATCTTCGCGTACCATGATTTGCCGCAAAACCTTTTAAAATACTTTTCCTTCCATACGTCACAAATTGTTTCAATCAAGATTAATTTGTAAAATGACAACCATCGTGCAAGAATAAGTTGCTCATTGCTATGTGACATGTTTTTGAAACTTTATTCATAGAATAATCCTTTATAAGATATTTTAAAACCTGTTTACAGTTCAGCCGACATCTACTCGAAGCATCCCGGTGAACAGAAAAATTTAATATATACATAGCTGCAACAAAGTCTTTTTTTAGAAAACGGAAGTGTACAGAGTAAATCGTGTAATTTAATAGTGTCCTCTATTAAACGTTATCTAAGAAAGCTATATAATTTTAAATCTTATGAGTATTTATGTTTCAAAATAAGTAAAGTGTATAACTTTTCCTATTATTCTACATACATGTCCAATAACTACTACACGGTATTCAATAATTAGTGCCATTAGTGATTTAAAAAACGCCTCATAAAAACGTTTTACAAAAATAACTGCAAACAATTAATTCATTCAACGAAAAAAGAAATAATTATATCATTGGCAAAACAAATTCGTATGAATTCGAAATGTCTTAATGATGAGTGATGAAACTGGACAACCGTGTAAAATTCGTTTCGAGGTGTATCGTTTCAGATTAAAATATTTATAATCAAGGATTTATTACCCTAAATAAATCACGATTTCGAACGAATGCTTCCGATAGTATCTATCGATCGCGTATACCGATACATTTAATTTAACAGACTTATGAAAGATCTTCGTAGAATAGTTTATGAAGATATATTACGTTGATTTAATTTAAAAAATTGTTTACGCATCCTTAAAACATTTAATCCTAGATAAGATAACATTTCCGCTTAAACTAATAATTACGTCGACGAGAAATACACTCAACTAAATAAATAGAAAATCATTCTGTTTTTCGACGATCGAACAAAAAAACCTTTGATGAAAAGTCATTGTATATTGTATATTGTACCATTGTATATTGTATATTCCATCTTATTATTTTCTTTCTCTTTCTTCCCATTTATCCGTATCGTTTATCATCTAGTTATTCTTATCCTTCATTCCATCTCCGTAATATGTATTTGTTAAATTTATTTAAATAATAACTACAACTAAAATTTTATATACGAATCGGTAGGGAAGTTAAAAGTGACAACAGAGGGTTAAAAACAAAAACAACTATATCGATAGCTGCTTGACTTGTTCCTTAGTCCAATCACTTTTCACATGAATAAAAAGAGTCAAATAATTGAATAAATATAATACTTGCGAAATAGTAATAGCTACTTGTAATAATGACAACTTTTATTATTATTATTGTTATATGACCAACCTTAATATGTATTTATTTATCTCCGATTTATTATTCATTCTTTCCTAAAGTCACCTACTATCAACGTTAAGGAGTACCCGATTGATTTCATTGACCGATTTCATTACACAACAAAACGAGAAAAATATCACCGGTACCTAATATCAAAAAATTGATATGAAAATAATACTAAACAAAAATATACTTACCCAATAGACTACGGGAATAGACTGATAAAAGTGAAACAAGTCTCTTCTAAGATATTTCACAGTACGCGAAATTGACAGGAGAGTTGGAAATACAACACGAAATCGCTCAAACTAAATAAGAACAGGAAAAACAGTCGTGAACCACGGTGTTCGAACCTACTGAGCTTCAACGCAGATCGAGCTGAAAGTCGTAGCAGAACTAATGTCGTCTCCCCACCTGAACACAGGTGCGTTCAATTTGACGAAATATAAGCCTTTTCCTTCTATTCGAAAAGTTTTTCTTGTGGTATCTTCGTCACTCGATGCATTCAGTTACAAAGAAACGCGTATTTCCTTTTGCTTCTGTCGAAATATTTTTTATTATAAAATTCGTTCATACTATTTCATGTAGCTTCAATGTAAAGCGATACTTTTGACTGAAACAAATTACACTGCGTACGAGATGCGACAAATTTGAAATCAACATGAAATTGTTGTATTTCTGTTAAATCAACATTTACGTTTAGATCACTACAGTCAAACTGTAACACTAAAGTAACTTAAAATTACGAGCAACTTTATTCTTCTGTTACATTATGAATATTATAAACATATGTCCACATATAGATACCCATGCATGTATACTATCGTATTGAGTACTATTTAAACGCACTTCTTAAAAAGAAAAAGAAAATTAAACGTAAATTTCTTCTCTACCTTGGAAAAGTTAAATCTAAGTTTTCTTGATTCGTGCATTGTTATACTCCACAGGTAACTGTCAAACGACATATAACGAAATTTTATAATTTGGTATTATCGTATAAACTCATATAACATATTTTCTAAATTTAATCATGTGTGCAAAAGTAATGGTATGGACGATATAATTTTGATATAATTAGGTGCAATAAGTTGCACTTACTCCTTTCACTGAAAAGTTAGTTGTATCGCCTTAATGTATTTACAACAAGTATGTTTTTCGTTACGCAAAGATGTTGTGTAAACTCAATGCACATTTGTAGTTCATCGACATTTACATTACTCTTCTAGAAAATATCTCTTCCTTTCTCTCCTTGCTATCGCTCATTAAACATTTTACCTTACCTAATAAGTAATAGTATTATTCTATTTATAAGTTTAATGTAGTAAAATTTTACGCCGATAAAGAAATAATTTAAATATAATAATAAAAGACAGAACCAAGTAAAATAATATTAAACTTTGATGTAATATTGAATTAATTCTATATATTTTATATAACATACATTTTTTTGCAGCTTTCATATATTTTGCAAAGTCAAAAACTAGCTTGACGAAAACAAAGATCTTTATATATATCTTATCATATCACAGACGTGTGGTATCAAGAAGTGGCGTTTTAGTAACAAACAATGTAAACAATTGAATATCATTTCAATAAATTGTTATTAAAAAAATGTCTTCGCACACTATACCGATAGTCGAAGAATTAGCTAAGGACTACGCAAATTATTTAAAACTAGATTTATCCAGTCAAGTATGTACCATCCTATACATAACCTCAATGAATGAACCTGAAGTATTACATATATCAAAGAATATTTTCTTATATCCTATAATTGTAAAATAAAACGTACGATATAATGTAATGTTACATTCCAGATGAAGAATTTTCATGATGCAATCGAAGATGTAATGATGCGTTTAGAAGAGTTTCAGTCAATTATTGAAATGGTTAGAGATAATAATTTAAATTAATAAATTTTTAATAAACATAATTTATATATATATATATATTATCTACATTATAATTTGTGTTAAAAGGTTCAGTCTGAAAATAGTCAATGTACCGATCAACATATCCCAAAACTACAAGACATGCAACAAGAGGTCATAAATCTTAGTAGACGAATAGATGCTTTAGAACATGTTATTGCGATGATTAATGTAAATCTAACAACATTAGAAGCTGCCGTTGATAATGCAGAAGCTGAATTAGGAATCTCTGATAGATTATTTGGAATGTTAAATCGTTTATCTTTCTTTGTAAGTCATTGTTACTTTCATAATGTTGATAACACGATTACCTGATTCGTAATACATATATTTCATGATATGTATTTCAGAAAAAAACACAAGAACCTGTGGTACCTAATAAATTATCAATGTACGAGCCTCCAACAATTTATAGAACCAATGACTATTTTAAGAGTGAATGAATAAAATACTTTATTTTATAGAGATATATAATAGATTTATCAATTATTTTCATACATTAATATATGCTACATTTTGAAGAAAATCTTCAATATTTAAGAGGTGTGTATTATTAAATGAATTTCGCATGTTTCTGTTATAGATATGAAATAAAAATTATTTTAGTACGTATTGTGTTATGATTGTTTTCAGATATAAAATGTTTTCTGACATAAAATGTTACAGATAAATGTTCATTAATGAATCAAATAAAATTATACCTTGAATTTACTGGCTGAATAGTATTTAATAAATAGAGAGCATTCAACCCTGGAATAATTACCATTATTCAAATTTAACATATTTTGCCAATTTTATCCCTAAAATACTAAAAAAAATACCATAATTCATAGTCTGACCATTAACATGCTGCAAGAGTACAAGTTTTTAATTGTGCTTTCTTTTCACCTAATAAACAACTTCCACCTATACAATGCCTCCATCTTGTTAATTTTCCTATACCACAAGTAACACTACAGCTTGACCAGTTTCCCCATTGATCCCATATTTTTGGTCCTTGACGAGTGATCCTACCTATCGTTAAAATATTTCATTTTCAAATAAAAATATTCATATAAGATTACTGCTAAAACAATGCCATAAATATAACATTCATATTTGCCACATATTTTGAAAAATGCACAATAAATTTAAGATTCATATAATAATAATAAAGAATAATTCTTCCATTAAATTACTATTTAATACAATTATCACTATTAATAAAATGATGTATTGAATAATTGTCAAGTCTGTTATTATATTTACCTAAATTTTAAATAATTGCAATATATTAAGATTGAAGACATGTACAAACATGACATTCTTGAAAAAAAAAAACATTTTTACAATTAAAAAGTTTGAAATTACTACAAATATATTGGTGAAAAATTAAATAAAGTAATTTACATATTCTTTTATCAAGATACAAAATATGTACTAGAATAATAAATGTTTTACAGAAATCGATTCAAAGTCAGAGACACAAGAAAGATTATGATTTACAAAAGCATAGCTTACCACGATGCTACAAATATTACAATTTGTACAAACTCTATAAAAACGTAGAATATAGTTGACAGAAGAAATAATAAAAAAGAAAGCAAGAATATCAGGCAAGTCCTCAGAATTCTTTTTCATAGCCATAATAGTAGAAAGCAAACATCAATAAAGTAAAGTAATCGAAGATAACTACAAATGAAATACAGCGTTAACGTAATTCCTGGTCCTTAATAGGCTAATATTGGATCGTCCGGAAAGTTTGTTCCGATTTTGAATTAAATTGGTTGACATGAAAGATCTTATTGAAAAGTTTCTCACTGAAAAACTTGAGAGGTTCTGGAAGGATGCAATATTCAAGTTGCTTAAAGGATGGAGAAAGGTTGTGGAATAAAATAGCACCTATATAATTCAATAAATGTATATCGAATCTAAATATAAATCGGAATGAACTTTCCGGGCGATCCAATATATTCTCCTTTAATAATATTTTCTATAATTATAATAAAGTATTTATCAAATAATAATTAAAATAGTAAATCAATTGCTTATTGGTTATACCTTTTTTTCCACTTTGTCCATCTGTATTAACTTCGTTATTTGTAATAGCGTATATTTCCATGGTACGATGCAAATTTTCCTTTTGTCTGGGAGATGATTGTTTATAAGGAGTTAATATAATATTATTTAAATGACTTTCGGACTGAAAAATTGATAAACACTCTATAAGAATAAATATAATGATAAATGTTTTAACAAACGATTTTACCAAATCATATAGCATAATTTGCATTACTGATTTATTAATTTCACGTTATACTTTTTACTGACTGAAATTATCTATCAACGAAAGAAATGCTCTAATAATTTTTTTAAAGCTATAGCAATAATAAAATTACATATAAGAGGATTAAGCAATGTTATTATTTAATAGAAATGATTAATTGAGGATAAAGTAAAATTATGTAGTTTTGGTAATGCTATATGCACATAGCAAAAAAAAAAAAAAAAATAAACAAAATTAAAAGTCTGTATCACAGCAAAGTAAATGTTTAATGGCTTTTTACCATCATTTACATATATATCGTCCCCAACGTTACCGAAAGTTTAATTTAGAACAATATGCATATGATACAAATGTGCTATAATAATTTCGTAAGGTATCGCAGATATATGTACGTAAACTGTACTAAAATGTGTAATATCTTTCACTTTTTTAATAGAGCGGAAATACCAAAGCAAAGAATGGAAAAATAGAAATTTATCGATAAATAGCAGCAAATAATACAGACAGAAATACTACTGATTATTACATCTATTAAATATAATGTGTAAAATTTAGTTAAAGTTAAATACAATTTCATTGAAGAAAAAGGTTCATTTCAATTGAATATAGAATTAAAGTCAAAATCTTATGTTCGTATTTCTGTATAAACTTAAAATATAACAATGTATTCTCTATTTTTAATAAAACTATTTGGATTTAATGCCAAGCCACTGAAGAATATCTTTAGAATCACAATTTTTTAAACGGCATGTTTTTATTTGTGCTCTCTTTAATCCTTTTATGCAATGTTCTGCTGAACAATGACGCCAACGAACTTGACGACCATTTCCGCATGTTACACTGCATATACTCCAATTGCTCCAGTCATCCCACAATTCACTATCTATAATATTTGAAAAATGATTTATTTTGTTAATAAAAAAATTTTATCTTTAAAATAGATTAATAATAGATTTATATATACATATATAATAGATATATAATAAATTGATTGATTAAAAATAATAGATATTAAGTACATACTAGGTACGTTTGGAAGTGCATAAATCTAACTGAATAACTTCCTCGTTTACTTACTATTTTCAGTAGGATGTCCAATATACTTCAATAAGTTAGTTTGTTCCTTTTCATGTAACTCCACACTCATTGTAGGATTTTCATAAAGCATTTTATTTAAATAACTAAGTAATTTGCGCCGACGGTTTGTTAGAGTTTTATAGTAAAATGGACTATGATAACATCCTTTATCATTTCGCTGTGGTATTATTTGACCAAACTGCATCCAACGTATATTAAATGAATATCTATTTCAAATTATATGAATTGCATACTCATTTAAGTAACTGACTTTTACATATCTGAACTTTTTGTTATTAAACCCAAGAACATACAGATTAATTTTCTTTTTAGTATCTGCCTGAACTTTTTGTAAGACATTTAATTCAGCAGAGAAAAGGCTGACCTCTTGATTATCGTACATACTAATTTCATAAACTTAATGTTAAGTCTCATAATTAGTATAACAACGTAATCAGTAGACAATAAACAATTGTAAAACATACGTGGGTTGATATAATTTTTGCAATATAAAAGAAATATTATTACCATTCATGAATTGCATTAGTATTCAAAGAATTTGAATTAAACGTTAGAGTATTTTCCTTTGATTTAAAGGTATACAACTCTCCAAATTTAATACCGTTATCAGACTTCTCTAAAATAATGCATACTAATAACAACGTAGGTAATAAATACATATTACATTAATCGCTCACAATGCTTCATCAGTTAAATGAAATTATGCATTAATAAGTCAAATTGATTAAAAGTAATATCAATGATAAAATAAATCACATTTTATCTGACAGTTTCACCTATATATGCAGGATATGTGATAGTTGTATATACATATAGTATATCTAGTTAGTTAAAATAAAACAATTGACTGTGTTCATCAATTACTACTACTAAGAAGTATTAAAAGCCAGAAAATAGCAATATGAAAGATGCTATCACATATCAATATTATAAATACTAATTAATATTTAAAAGAGTTACAATATAATGCAACTATTATTTTACTTATTGAAATATGTTTGCATAATAAAAATATTTTGTGATTAAATTGATATAAAAATATAAAAATAATATGTTCATTGATGAATTTGATTTCTCCTAATTTAGCAAATGAGACAATATAAATGTGAAATATTTTATCTTTAATTTCTTTAATACTTCGTATCTAATTAAAAAAAAAATACATAAAATTGTACGTTATCTTTACATAATTATTAATTTATCCATTTCACGTTGTTATATTTGGATATTTTTTTGTGATTATTTATTCTCTTCATAACTTGAAACTAGTTTAAACATAAATATATCAATCCTGGCACGCTACTGTAAAATTTCGTTTGATAATACCAAACGATGGTAGAAGATAGAGAAACGTGAGAAAGCCATTTTGACGGAAATAATACTAATAATATAAAACAATTATAAAACTATATAATCAATAGCAAAAATTTATTTTATGTTGTTAACTGTATGTCTCACTCTGTGTGTGCATGTATGAGAAGCTGTATTTGTTCTCATTCAAATAACTTTCTGTATAGATATTAATACATCGTGTATATATCACACCTTTTTATACAAAAATATTTACTCAACTTTTTAACCTATTAAAGACATTTGTTTTAAATCACAGTTTTAAATAATTATGCTAAAGAATACTTATAATCGGAAGAATGTTTTATTAGCACGACCATTTGGAATTTGTCCTTGAAGTCTTAATCTTCTAACAGCTTCTCTTAAATGTTTCGGTTGTAAAGGACCTGATTCCTGATGAGCTTCCATAACGTCAAGAGCTAATTTAATAATCATATTTGAATTAAAGGAAATAGTTTAACTCATTAGAGATGTTAACAGAAGATTTAAGTATCACCTTCTTCTACTATTTCTCCAACAAACACTTTTGCAATACCAGACATAGCAATGACCACATTCTGTGACACTGAACAACCTGTTATAGTTTGCATGATCTGGAATATTGCATATAATTTATGAAATACATTTAAAAAAACATAGTATAAAAAATGTAAGAGAAAAATAATTACTCTTTTTATCGCAGCTTTTGGAAAAGCTGCTCTTCTGTACATTTCATATCTGTCCAATTGATCCTCCGTAAAATTTGACACTAGTACTCTTTGAAGAAAAAGAAATATTTTATCTATGTATAAAATAATATATATTCTGCAGAATATATATATTCAAAAACTGCAAAAAATTTAAGTACATACTGCATCCTTTCTCTTTCTTCTTCTTCTAATTCTTTTTTACTTTTCTCTTTACTTTCTCTTCTTTCCTTAACACTTGTTGGATTTGCATGAGGCAATACTATGTCATTTTCAAATATATCTTCCCTAGCTTGTTCTTCTTCTTTACTTTCAATTTCATGTTTAACAATTTCCAATTGATCTTCCAATTCTGTGACTTCGTCGCATAACAAATTACTTTCTATTTCTTCTCCATCCGACTGTGACTGTGAACTCATTGCATCAAATTCTACCTAATATTATGAATAAATAAACGAACAAATGAAAATATTAGCTTAGCGATATAGCATCCTACTGACATACCTTAACTTGTATATTATCAACATCCACCGTTTCTACATCTTTGATTACAGAATCTTGCGAAGAACTAACTTTATCTTCCTTTTCCTCAACATCTACATGCTCGCTTTCATTTCCAGAGTCTTCTTTTCCAAATATATTATCCATAATGTAATAAGATGTATGGAATTACAAATATTATAAATTTAGGGCTTCTCAATCATTCTAAAAATTAAAAATTTCTTGTATTTGTCTTTGGTTTAGGAGTAGGTTTTGTATTTGTTTAGGTTATTTATAACTAATTCTCCTGTATCCTATAAAAATATATTATTTTAGGTTAGATTAAATATTATAATAATCACCTTATGAAAAGTTTAATCTAAATATTTAATTAACAAGCATAACTTAATAAATAGATTATAAAAAACTTTGTAAATCTATGCACGTTTTGCAACAATGGTATTTAATACCCTAATGTGATGTATAAAAAACGTTACCTTGTATAAGCACTATTTATGGTTTAATTCAAACAAACCCGCCATACTTTTCAATAGATAGGACGTAGAATATCAAAAAATTACATATTAATTTAATAGTATAAATCATGGAATACGCAATAAATTCGAGAACGTAACTTTTTTTCTTATTAAATAATTTTATACAATTTTTGCTAATCTTTTATTATTTCAATCTGTAACAAAAATATTTGTCTACAAAAAAATATAATTAAATATTATAATAATAAGTTGCGTAAGATTTAGCACGAATATAGAATAAATGTTTTCTCTCCCAATTATTGAATTATTAACTCTAATAATATAAATTGCATTATAACGATGAAAATATCGCGTTTATTCTTATACACGGAAAATAAAATAATTGAACTAAAAGTTTTGATTTTTCGTTAAATCTATAAATATATATTTGTATAAAAAGATTTCAATTATTTGAAATGTATCGAAGCAAATCAAAGTATAAGGAAATCTAAATCAAATTGATTCAGGCATATTGAGCCACACGTGTTTCTCATTTTTCAAACACAAACGAATTTATACCATTGAAAAATGTAAAACTGGAGAAAAGTAAAATTTTAGAAAAGTAACATCTATGTGATATATCGCTATGAAAATTCTATAGAAAAAAGCTCAGATGCGAAATGCATATATATTTCATTGTTCAATGGGAATATTTTTAGGAATTAAAAGACGCGAGGCATCGCAACGTGGCGCCAGCTGGTGGCTAAGTAAAATTTAGTCGACAGTGTCGCGACGCCGCGACGTATTTGTCAATACCAGATCGTATTCACGATTTTCATAGTTTGTTGGTGTTCACAAAAAGGTATCGCGCGATTTTATCAAGGCAAGTGACTTGAGTGATTGAAGTAAAAAGAAATTTAATATTGGATACGAATCAATAGATAATTGAACTGAAAAGTAAAGGGTACTCGGCGCGGGGAAAAGGGATATCGAGAACTGGCCGGAACTCGGGACGATAGCTGGTGGCTCGGTAGGTCTGTAGTCTGTAACTCGGCCGAGTATATTGTCTATCTTATTCGAGGGCCGAGGGGAGAGCGGTGGTGAGTGAGTGGAATACAGTGAAATATCAAAGATCGAGAGTAACATCGTCGGCAAAGAGTTGACTCGATTCTAACGTCGAAGCATCGAATACCGGGCCTACGAATGCAGTTTCAAGACGGAGTCGCGTATTAAGATGTGAGTACGGTGTGTCTTGGAAAATACACGGCGTTCGTTGCGTACCGGATTTCACGAGAAAATTATGGCGAAAGGAGAAGAAAGGGTTTCGTTGCCAGAGAGCATTGCATCCGTCGCGACAGCTCTTCATCGAGCATAAGACAGTGGAAAAGATTGTCCTCGTAGACGGTATGAAAAACTGCCGATACAAGCAGAAAATATTGTAAATTTACATTGAATTTTGCACAATACATAACCCTTTGTGTATGTTCGCGCTTAATCCGCACACACGGCTCTTCATACGCATACTATCATGCGCTTTATCAACAATGTCATTCTAAACTTTTGTGCTAACACATCTATGTATATATACCGTGATAGGAACGCCAGTGAAAAACCGGTCTCGTCTTTTCAAAAGCTCCGCGACTTCTCGTTCCTTGATCTCGTTCTTCCACGGAAACGTCATTCTCGTCGTTTCGGTTTCAAATTTTATTTTATCAACCTTCATTTTTCAATCGTCTGTACCATTGCTAAAAATACATTCGATTGCCAACAGACGTTTCTTGTTTTATTTTTTTCTTTTTTTTATTTTTTTACAAAAGCTACGCTATAACACACAAACCTCGTTATCTGTAAGATGAACTGCCCTCTCCATATCTTCTTCGTAATTTCCATATTTGAACGTATTCATTTTCATACCATTTTTACGTTGCAGGGAATCTGTTGCAAAAATGTTAATCTGCCTTTCTGTTACTTTGATGAAATCTCATTGATCGTAAAATTATTTTAGTGAAAGGAATTTCATTCTTGTTGATCTATTTTACCATATAAACATTCTTACTATGTCCTACTACTATTCTTACTAAGTACAAACAAGTTGCCGTTGTTGTCATATAGAAATTAAGGTGCCATCTAGATTATCGCAGATACCAGTTAGTTTTCATTCTATTCGTATCACCGTATAAATTCGACATTGAATACTATTCAAATATTTCTGATACGATATATTTTCAAGGAGAATTTTTTGAAGCGACATCGCTCGTTTCGGAGCGATGCTCGCCATTCCGAAGGGATGTGCGATTTGAACGTACGGATTTAGTTCGAAGGTATTACATTTACGTAGAGGCACGCGTAAAGGGAGCGGCTGAAACTAAAGGTAGAGACGTAGAGAGACGGTCGTTGGCCGAAGGAGAAACGACCCGGCGAGTCTTGCTCGAATCAACGGAGAAGAGCCTGTTTCGCTACATAGGGAACACGTATCTTTGTCGCCGTTGCCTCTTTTCAACCTGCTAGCCTTTCGAACCAAGCTTCGCGAGCAAACGATAACGTTGCTTTACCACGCGAACCAACCTATATACATATCTACTTTTTTCAATTTGTTCGTAGTTGATTGAATTTTCGCTAATTCCGTGGCGTACGGTTTCCGTCGAGACGACGATGTACGCGAAATAACGCGCAATTTTTCTTCGATTGGGATTGCAACCACGCCATCAGCTCGTGCGCAAATTGTGTAAAAGCATTAAGTTACAAATGAATTTCGGATCTCGTTGAGAAACGGCGTTTGCATATTGGAACTGCGTATGTATGTATATACGAAGTAATGCCGTAGATGTGAAAGAAACATTGCGATTTGCCATATGAAAACTCGACGAGCAAAGCACATAGTCACGTGCGAGATATAGAATATGTGTTTACGGCGATCGGCATTGCAGAGGTCAATATACCGTTAGAGACACCGCGATATTCTCCCCTCTTTCTTATTTCGTTGAACGCGTCATATCGCGCCAACTTACCAATCCACGTCTTTCATTTTTTTTTTTTTTTTTTTTTAGCGCAAATTTGTCTTATCGTACGAATGCGTTATTAGATAGTACATGATACGATACGATCGTCAGCACTCGGACTTTCTTTTCTCTTCCTCTTCAACCGAAAGTTTTCCAGGACAAACTTCCTTTTCAACCGATACATCGTTATTTGCATCTACCCGACTTTCGATTTTATCCTCTGTTTACAAAGATCAGAGGTTGTTACCTTGAAAGACTGTAGAAACAAAATTTTAAGGAAATGGATATTTTTAATTAGAAATTATACGCGTCGAAACAGGATCGTGCCGGCGATAAATTAAGTCGTGTCGCGACAGATAAATGATAAATGGTCGATACCCGATACTTTACAACGACTCCTTACAAGTCTCGATGTATTTGCATTGTATTAACATTTCGACGTTAAATCAGTGACGTTACACAATGTTTATATACATATTGTTTTCTAAAATTAACACGATAGAGCTTGGTTACTTAAATGTGACATCGTGTCACGGGTGTATCGATCGAGGACAATATTTACTCGATGTTTACAAAGTCTCTTATTATGCACAGTTCTGTCATCAAACACCTGAGATTATATTGGAATTAGCAACGAAAATAGAGGATCGTACAACGCGCTAACGACAAAGACACATTTACGCGCATCTCTCTTCCTTACGTTGTTCGATATCAATGACTTTCAAGTTACACGTGACGCTACGATTAAACGTAAATGTTGGTTTACGCGAATTCGCGCTCGTAACGCTTTACAGTTTGACTAACATCGGGTCCTTGACTCTGCCGCTCCAAGTAAAACCAAGTTTTACGTAAGCACTTTCCATCTGCAAAGGTACGAAAGCGATTGGTGAAAAATGCTGTCTCGGCTGGAAATTCGATTGCTTAGAAATGTCGCTCTATTTCGAGGAATATATACATATATATATGTGTGGAGGATTGACGCAAATATTCCCCAGCTTTTTCTTCATTCGTGTGCAAAGATCAAGGGAAAGGTATATATTAGCCAACACATATCGTGTGATTGATATTGAACTTTTTTTCCCATAAAATTGTACTTTATTTATGCACCGGATAACAATAACGGATTTTGCGTAGTTTGATCGTTAACATTCAAATTGCAATTGCTGTACATAAACAGCGACTATTTGCAAGTACTCGTAGGAAAAGCACACTGACGCGAAGAACGATAAAGTTCTGAATGTCTTTATTCTGCAGGTGCGAAGAGGCTACAGAAGTGGAGACGCATCATCAGCAAACGGCAGCAACAACGATGGGCGTCGCCGAGGATGAGACACCGTCCTCTTTGACTTCTCATCCTAACCCTAACGTTAACAACTCCAACCAAGAAGGTACGTGTCAGAATTGCGAGGTTTGTGGAAATAAGAAGGATTTACCGCGCCTATGTGCATATACCGAGATATAGATAAATGCCAAATATAAACGCTACGTATAAATGAAATTCGTGAAATACGGTGCTATTCGCACGATCGGATTATTTTTGAGTCGTACAGCATCGAAGATATAAGTCGGTAGAAGTATAACGATAGAAGGATAATTACGTTTAAGAAGTTTTATATCTTTCTTCATCGCAATCGATATTGGCCACGCTTCGTGTTAATCTTGCACGTTCTCGCCTTTTAAGTTGAAACAAAGCTAAGAAGCAAAACGCGCGCTCGTTAATTCGTTTAATTATGATAACACGGAAGCACCGTGGAAAGTCTCGATGCGACAGAACTGTACGCTGCCATTTCTCACCCAACCATCGCCGTATTAAATTTAAAGATCTTTATCCTTTCCTTGTCTCTTCTCTATTATTAACGTACGTTTCGGTTTCGGTTTCGCCTTTGGTTACTCTGAACGCACAGAAACACATTGTTTCGCCTTTATAAAATATCGTTTGCGTATAAATAAAAAGCCTTTCTCGAATCATCGCGATTATTTTCTTAATTCCAACATATTTGTAACAATAGACGAACGTTTACGGGTGTTGTTGCATCGACTCGCCTTCTGAAAGAACAAGGCTTCGAAGGTCGACGAGTCTCGAATAAATAAAACCTCTTTTACGGCGTAGCTACGTC